GAGGCAGGAGGATCACTTGACCCCAAGAGATCAAGGCTGCAGTGAGCTGTGATTGCACCACTGCACTCCTGCCTAGGTGGCCGAGTGCATTTATTAATATTCTGTCTCAAAAATATTAATAAAATAGACCGGGTGCAGTGGCTCATGCCTGTAATTCCAGCACTTTGGGAGGCTGAGGTGGCCACATCACGAGGTCAGGAGATCGAGACTTTTCTGGCAAACACAGTGAAACCCCGACTCTACTAAAATACAAAAATTAGCCGGGTGTGGTGGTACACACGTGTAGTCCCAGCTACTCCAGAGGCTGAAGCAAGAGAATTGCTTGAACCTAGGAGGCGGAGTTTGCAGTGAGCCAAGACTGAGCCACTGCACTCCAGCCTGGTGACAGAGAAAAATTGTGTGTCAAAATAATAGATAATAAATAAATAAATGAGATGGCTTGCCTTAAAGCGCTTCCCATTGCCTTCAGGGTCAAGTCCAGTTTCTTCAAAGTAGCTCACGAGAGCAGCCCCTTCAGGCTGGCCCCCACCCGTCTTTCTGGCTTTGCCAGTGGCCCCTGCCTGGTTGGGTGCTGCGCTCAGGGGGAGAGGACGGTCTTGCAGGGCTGATGAGAAACACGCTCTGCTACTGCCTGGAGGACGAGCCACTGTCTACTGAGCACAACTGTGCCCGACACCCCTGCGGACTTCACCGGTGTCAGTCCCTTTAAGCCTTGCAACAGCTCCAGGAGAAGGTGAGGCTCAAAATAGGCCACAGGGGAAGTGATGGGGCCCAGTCCATCAGAGCTACTGCTGCTGGCCAGAAACACTGGGCCATGGGCACTAGGTGGAATCGGCCCGCAGGGGGCCACATGGTTACCCTCTCCCAGACCGAAGCACACTGAATGCCCAAGTCCCCCAGCAGGAGACGCAAAGGTGTCCACTCTCCGGCCCCCTCCGCACAGTGGACACCCCGCTTGCAAAGTCATCCCTTTCCGTTCTCAGGGTCCTGCTCCGTGCCACAGGCCTGGCTTCTTTCAGTGGAGGCAGGGCAGGAAGATGGACCCCTGAAGAGTTGTTTTCCATTCTGTGTGTCTTTTTGGCTGTGTCACTGTTTCTCTAGCCCTCTCCTCCACTCAGTGATGACACCAGCAGCTGCTAGCTGCTGCTTTCCCCTAAGCTCCCCCAGGAGGTCCCAGGAGACAGGCTGAGCTCACTTTATGCCACAGTAGTGGCTCCAAACCTTGGCTGAGGAGTCTGGAAAATTCTGTTGCCCCAGCCCTGCCCCTTTGGTGCCCATTTCTTTGGTGCAGGAGGAGGCCTGGATGTGGGGCAGGTGGTTCTACTGTACAGGTAGAGCTGGGAGGGTTTTTTTTATTTTTTTCTTTTCTTTGAGACGGAGTTTCCCTCTTGTTGCCCAGGCTGGAGTACAATGGGTCGATCTTGGCTTACCGCAGCCTCTGCCTCTCAGATTCTCCAGCCTCAGCCTCCTGAGTAGATGGGATTACAGGCACGTGCCACCACACTTGGCTAATTTTGTATTGTTAGTAGAGATGGGGTTTCTCCATGTTGGTCAGGCTGATCTCGAACTCCTGGCCTCAGGTGATCCGCCCACGTGGGCCTCCCAAAGTGCTGGGATTACAGGTGTGAGCCAGCGCACCCAACCAATATTTTATTTACTCAGTTTTTTGAGATAGAGCCTTGCTCTGTCTCCGAGGTTTGAGTGCAGTAGTGCAATTTTAGCTCACTCCAACCTCCATGTCCTAGGTTTAAGTGATTCTCCTGCCTCAGCCTCCCAAGTAACTGGGATTACAGGCACCCACCATCATGCCTGGCTAATTTTGTATTTTGGTAGAGATGGCGTTTCGCCATGTTGGCCAGGCTGGTCTTGGACTCCTGACCTCAAGTGATCCGCCGCCTCAGCCTCCCGAAGTGTTGGGAGCCACCGCGCCCGGCCACTCCCGTGTTTGTTACAGTAATATTCACAATAGTCAAGATATGGAATCAACCTAAATGCCCTTCAAAAACTGAATGGAGGCCGGGCGCGGTGGCTCATGCCTGTAATCCCAGCACTTTGGGAGGCCGAGGCGGGTGGATCACGAGGTCAAGAGATCGAGACCATCCTGGT